TTGTAATTTTCAATTTTATAATTTTCAATTTTTTAATTTTCAATTTTATAATTTTATATTTAATGTTGTTTGTATTCGTGGTTTATTTTTTGGATTTGAATTGTATAATTATTTTGTTTTTCATTTTTTATTTGTTTCACATTATCTTATTTTATTGTAATTTTAGTATTTGAATAGCATAATACTAACCTTATTCCTAAGTTCTTTACTAACAAACTATGGATAACTGTCCGAAATAAAGTATTATTATTATTATTATATTATTATTATAATATCTTTTTTATGAAACCAATTTGGCACTGTTAATTTTTAGTTTCTAAATATTAAATTATTATATTAGTTTCGGATTGCCCCATAACCCAGTAAAACAATCAATGTAAATTCACTAGGTGATACTTAACGGTTACCATGCCGGACTGCCATGCAGAGGTTCTGGGTTCGAGACCCAGGCCAGGATAAATATGTGTATGGCCTATATTTATTTTTCTCGCGAGTTTGGGTGTCATTTGTAGTTGTCTATGTATGTGTCCATAGCATCCGCGACACAGGGTTTCCCTAGTGCGGGGCTATGAGTGTGTTGCATTATTATTATTATTGTTACGTGGGGCGCACTATATGGTCAAAAATGAATTTAGTGTTTCTCAAAATATTCTCCGTTAGCGTTAATGCACTTATTTCATACGAATGAACCTATTTTGAAAACATTTCTGCCACTCCTCCGTGACAATCTCTGAAACATATTTGTCATACTCTTCGACAGCTTCTTCAGGTGATGAAAATCGTTGACCGCGTAACTGGTTCTTAATTTTTGAAAATATATAAAAGTCACAAGGTGCCAGGTAAGGGACTGTACGCGAGATGGCTCATAAGATCAACGTTGTTCACCTTCAAAAATTAAAATTGTCTGTCTGGCAGTGTGAGAACTGGCATTATCGTGGTCCAAGATGATACGGCGTTTACGGTTGTTTTTACGGAGTTTGTCAATAACTTCCGGCAAACAAATGGTCGTGTACCAATCACTATTCGTGGTACAACAATTCTCCAAAGCAATAGTAGCCACGTGTTCAGCTTTATTAAAAAAGAAGCAATCATCCGCTTAGAGGCACTTTGCACGCGCGCCTCTGTTTGGTTTCGGCTCATCTCGAAAGACCCATACGCTCGATTGCTACTTTGTTTTGGGATCGTAACTATAAATCCATGTTTCGTCATCTGTTACTATGTCTCACACCAAATTTGATGCCTCTTCGTTGAATCTGGTAAGCATGGCATTGCACCAAGTGACGCGATCCGTTTTTTGAGCCTCAGTCAAATTGTGTGGGATCCACCGAGAGCACAGCTTTTTCACACCCAAATGTTTGTGTAGTATTATTGATTGTATTTGACTCATGCCTATTCCTGCCCGAATCTCATGGTATGTCACAAGACAACAGACAGCTGTTTTGATCATACGGCGCACAGCATCGATGTTTTTGTTGTTCACAGCAGTGGACGGGCGACTATCACGAAATTCGTCACTGAGATTCACACGACCGTATTTGAATCTGCAAACCAGCTACAAATAGTCGTCTTGCATGGTGCTTCATCGCCAAAAGCAGTTTGAAGCTGAGCGAAGTTCCGCTGAGCTGTTAAATTACACTAAAGTGGTAGAAAATCTTACTACGACAATTTTCACGAGATAAATCCATGGTTGATGAAGACAACCAATTTCTAAAATGACGCCACAATTAAAAAAACAAGTAACATTCAGATGAAACAAACTGTATTCTACGGCCAAAGAGTTACATTTTCAAATGAGGATAATTACTTTTAAAATATTGTTTATGTAAGGCCTGTTCCGGAAACTTATATTGCGCCCTATGTATTATTTAGATAAAACAGTTTTTCAAGAGAAAACCCGTTAACTACCGGTTCATCTATAAGAACATTATCAAAATAACAAAACCTGTCAATTAGTGTTCCAGAGCTGTCTGCCAATTTTTAACATTTCTTGCACAGGTTGGAACCATCACTCGAGTCGCGTATCACTTCATTATTATATCCTGTACATGATACTCTATCTATAAGAACATTGTTGTCAAAATAACAAAACCTGTCAATTCTGTGTTCCAGAGTTGTCTACAAATTTTTAAGATTTCTTACACAGGTTGAAACCATCACTCAAGTCGCTTATCATTGTCATATCATGTCTATGATAATATATTTTGACACCGTTACAAGTGACGAATCGTAGCTACTCTCCTGATGGAGAATTGATTTCCTGTTGGGAAACAATGATCTTATACGACTGACAACGACTGAAAGACGTGCCTTTAGGATGTTTTCGAATCTTCACGACACGGACCCCAGCAACCAGCCCCGAAAGTGAAAAGTGGTATCAAACGGAAAGGAACCTAGTGCAGCGATGAAATCCTCACTGCACTAACCACCTCCACCCTGCTTGCCTACAATATGCCTCTTCACGCCTCGTTTGAAGGACCCCATATCATAAGAGGGAGGGAAGACATGTGCCGGAAGGGAGTTCCATTTGTCAACCGTGCGGCAGAGAAAGGAGCCACCGAACCTTTTAGTACGCGATGGAATTCGGCAGGTAGTGAAACGGTGACTACGAAGGCCAGCACGCGTGCTTCTGAGCAGGAACGGGGAAGGGGGGATGAGGTTGAACAGCTCTTCAGAGCACTCACCATGGTACATGCGGTAAAAGGCGCTAAGCGATGCAACATCTCTACGCGTTTAAACATTCGCAGAGTTTTTGGGAAGAAGAAAGGATTTTTGACAAAGTTTTTTGCGAATTGGGCCAATATCGAATTAGCCATTTTGTGAATTGGGCATCCTAAGACTGGTAGCCATTTTGTGAAATGGTCATTCATCCATTAAGCCGTTGTCACATGTAACTACAACTGTTAGTAACAACCAATCTACATGCTTTCTATCATAAGACCAAAGTGATGATAGAAACGTATGCATGTAGACTATCTGATGTAGTCTAAAGACTATCCAAACTTTGCCATTTACGGGACTTATAACAGCTCCTGCATCGAACTGTCAATATCTCTCGAAAATCTCAGATAATGAACAGTTCGAAGAGATAATTTTTGTCTTCGGGCTCATTGCTAAGCCTGCTGGTCTATTAACGAAGAGCAGCTTCAAGGAGTTAATTTAAAAACCGGAACGCAATAATGTAACAACGCATTACTGCTTGGCGGTGGAAATAGGTAAGGTGGCAGTACTTCTCTGGACGAAATATATTTATTTGATTTTCAAGCATAAGGCTGCCTTTCCACCAGAGATGTGCGGGGTAGCGAGGCGGTGCGAGGATACGTTACGGACTCTTTTCAGCTATGCGCGCGGGCGGGGTACGGTGTGGTGGGGTGAGCGGTGGCAATATGTCAGTGACAGTTAGTGTCATACTTTCAGAAGCTCTAGTTTCCTATACGGATTTGCACACATTCCTCGCCCGCAGTCTTCGCACACATCTCTCGCTACTTTGTATGTGCAAATAACCCTTTTCCACCGGAACTGCGCTAAGCAAGTCAAGGAAAATGAAGTAACCCTTTTTGACAGTGACACTTTTCAAGGCATTCTGTCAATGCTTCTATACGTGTAATCTGTGGGTCAACTTTACGCAGAAGACAATCAACGACCTGCGCGTTCAGTACAACAACGCGCTCAGGGTTGTATTGGGTTTGCCACGGTACTGCAGCGCATCAGACATGTTCGCGGATGCTCACACGGATGGTTTCCATGCTATCCTTAGAAAGAGAGCTGCCTCATTAATAAGTCGTATCCGTTGCGGCACGAATGAGATTCTGCGCGTTGTGGCTGGTAGAGTGGATTGCCCGATCATGCTACATTGCATGAAACTGCATTTAAAACCATGTCGATGAATTATTTGCTATTTAATTTAATTTGTTTAATTATTCTATGTTTCTAAGTTGCCTTTTGTTTAATTTAAATTTGTGTATACCTATTGAATTATCTAAGCTAATATTATAAGTGTAAAATATGGACTGTAGTTGTCTGAGAATAAATGATTTTTGATTTGATTTGATTTTTCCTCGCACACCGCCTCACTACGTCACACATCTTTGGTGGAAAGGCAGCCCTAGTCGCGCTTATTCATTACTTTAAGTTTCAGTGTCGTTTCACGTTTCCCCTTCTATCTAACAATCTTGTCAACACAAGAACAAACCCAGTCAATTCAATGTACTCGTATTCCCTATCTCATCCTGCAAATGGCACACAATAGCGTCGCAGAAAACTGATAATCTATGTGACCTGCTTCTCGACAGCGACGTTTACATTATGACAGAAGTGGGTTACGGTGTCAAATACTCCCAGGTTCAATAGGTAGGTTTTCTAAAGGACTTCCCTTTACTGTGAGCTTGACATTTAAATATCATACAATAAAAGACAGGCGAATAGAAATTTTATAAAATAGGTGATGGGAATTAGCTTCGCATTTGAGAGGTCGATGGTTCGACTTAGGGTTGTTTCTGATGCTTGTTTTTTAATGAAAGTTGCCGAACGTCCTATTGTGTACAAAGCAAGATTGTAATATGGAAATCTTAAATAAGGTCTGGATTTTGTTCAATTTTATTATGTTATTCCTATATTTAATGTATATAAAAAAGATATTCATTTTAATCTATTTCACCATTGACTTACAATTATATGGACGTCGGGTCCGCGCTAAAAAGTATCCGAAATTATAGGGCGTTAAAATCGTATACAGAGCGTCATTCACGCTTTAGTCTTCGTTTGTTCGACTGACAGCGAAGCAAGCAAAATTAGACAGTACTGCGATGACATTACAATTTAAATTCAACGTTTTAGCTTTTTCATATTCCTTTACATGTCACTACGCTTAAATAGGTTGACTTGGGACATTTTTTTCGTGGTTTTTGTATTAGACCCGTCGTCCATTTATTTGTAAGCCAATGTATTTCACCGACTAAATGCGTAAACGCTGTTAGATAACGATATCGTATCCGAACCTAACGTTTAACTCGAATGTTCCGAATAATTCAGTCAAAACGCTTACCCTCATCGATGTCTGGAGGTAGCCCTCCGACGAAGACCTTGCGGCTGAAGCGCTCTCCGTGCTCGGATCCCGCCGACACGGGCGACGACCGCGCCGGCGAACCCAGCGCCGATACACACATCGATAGACCTGTGGAATATTGAGTTTTTCATTTGTATAGTTATTTTCAACTGCTGAAGAACCAGCCTTTTAACCGAATGTGGCATAAAAACCAAAGACATTTATTAAGATATATGTTTGACATAAAGAAATAATTAGTCGAAAAATAGTTTGAAATCGACGGCAGCAAAGAATAACCGGCTATCAGACTGTAAATTATAAAAATAAAAAAATGAAAATAAAAATTTGAGAAAATAGCATGTATTATATTCTGAATATTCTTCATATATTAGCTTTTTGTTTTATTAAATTTTTTATATGTACCTAACTAAATTAAAATTTGCTCGCGTTGTATGTGCTCGGATACACAGCGGAGTTTATCGTCGCCAATAAGTCTCCAGTCTGTCGGTGACACAAACCTGCTGCACTTAGTCTCGAGACGACATCCTGAGCCTGATCTGGCGGTACTGGCGGCGAGCCTGCGGCAGCGCCGCTGGCTACACTCGCTTCCTCCACGCCGGGAAAGAACGGTGACTTGCCTGCAACAAACAAACACTATCGTCAAACTACGTATGTCATTTTTAAAAGTATATAATATATTTAATACAAAATGCACCCTAAAGTTCTCCAGGAGCGAATACTATCCGATGCAGCCCGAACACCAGCAAATAGCTGAAGCTTTCTTTTTTTTTTCGACACAGTTATAATCAATCTCTTATTTTATGAAAAATGTTGTATCTATGTTTTACGTTGAAAATAAAGTCTTTTTTATTCAGTAGAGCACCTTGTTTCTGATAGATGGCGCTACGGCTAAAAAGTCGTTGAAAACGAAATACAAAGACCGGACAACAAGCTCATGGAAAAATTCTTGAGGTCCGCTGGTTCGATCCGTGGCTTAGTTGGCATAGCGTCTGCCACGGTTTGGTAGGAGACGTCGGTTCGAATCCGGCCGGATCGAAGGAATTTTTCCAAGCGTCCGATCTTTGTATTAATAATTATAACAAAATTCGTTTTTGTTTCTTTATTTTTTTTTCACAAAATTCGGGAGCAATAATATTAGTAAATAAATATGGCTGTTTACAAAAATAACAGATGTTCATTGGAGGTATTGAGATAGTTTGTTATTTGATTTGGAAAATTATTCAAAGGGACAAAATCTTAGGTACTTAACTAAATGTAAACAATCTTGATACATCTTTTTATTGAAACACATGCTTTACAAATCAATAGGTATAAAAATAGGCATGCAATTTCATATGAAGCTAAGTATTTGTGTTTTGTATTTGAAGGTAAGGGAAAATCATTTTATAAATGTATATTTCATTAAATAGACACCTCAAGATTGTTTACATTTATTTAAGTACCTAAACAGATGGACTATAGCTCGGAGAGCTAGTAGAGGATAAGCTAGATATCCTCCGGTCCCTCCAGCCGCTTAGGTTATTGGGAACTGGACAGACCTCGTTTTTCGGCGTCGGGAAGTGAGTGTGCCTTACAGCTCCGCCACCAATGAGGAGATTTGGAAGTGGACTTTAGAGTCGATGGCTTAGCGGTGGCAACCGCTAGTTGTGCAATGCACAACGAGAAGTGAGCATGCCTACAGCTCCGGTACCTATCTGGAAAATAGGGAGGGTGCTGTCCGTGCACCCGGGGCAGTTCACCAAAGGTACTACCTCTCGAAGAAGCGGATGAAGTCAAGTGACAGAGATCTGTGACAACCCTGTACACTCGCCGATCTGGGATCAGAACCTGAACCTGTAAGGTTCCTGTGCGCGCACAGGTTATAGTGCCCTTCTCGTATACTATAATCAAAAAAAGATATGAGTCTGTAGTAACTAACACAATTGTGAAATTATTACGTTGTCCGAATGTATAAATAAATAAACTAACCTGATCTGCAAGAAGTAATTCTCAGCTCATTTTCTATGAATAAAAATGACTCCCATAAATTAATAAATAAGCTTGTAAATACCGCCTTATCAATACCAAAGCCAACGACATTTAAGTTCAAAAATGTCAGTTATTTGGCTAGCGGCCAGTTACACCGATCAATGGTAGATATTCATCGAGATTGCTGCCTTTGCTAGATTTTCATAACAAATTGAGTTTTGCGTAAAACTCACTACGGAAACTGAGAAAGCATTTAAGAAATAAATGAACGTCAAAGTTTCTAAGTCATAAGTAAAAAAAATCATTAAACTTTATTCCACAGATAAGAATTACACTTGAACACGTAATTTTTTAAGCTATCTAAAGTTTCAGGAGACTGGTATCATGATTGTGGCATCACAGTACATTTGCTCGAGTATATTATATGCCTGTAGAAACATACGCAATTCTATTAACAAATATTAACCTTATGTATAAATAAATAAAGGTGCCACGATTTCGTTTAACTATGTTTTTTAAATGATTCTTTTATGGGGGATTGTAAACGTTTTTATCATAAAATTTCGGAGCATATTATATTACACATAAATCTAAATTTATTCACAACATTTTTTTTGTGACAAGTCTTATAAAGAGTGATTATTCAGGAGATTGCAAAACTTTCTATTTATTTTAAATTTCTTATCAAGGGTGTAATTTGGTTACCGGTTAAAATTAATTACAACTCTGATACTGTAGATGAAATAGACACATTTAACTTTCTTGGGTTAACAATCGACAAGAACCTTAACTGGAAGGAACACATCGAACAGATGTGCATGAACCTAAGCAGATTTGTTTACGCTTTACGAAGACTAAGGCAAACTGTCTCGCGAGAAGCTGCGTTGACGGCCTATCACGGCTACGTTTCGTCCGTGCTCAGCTACGGTCTTGTACTATGGGGTAACTCTGTAATCTTAGAAAGAGCGTTTAAAGTCCAGATGAAGTGTATTCGAGCAATTTGCGGTGTGTGATTCGATGACAGTTGCAAACCGCTGTTTAAAAAGCTGAACATATTACCTTTGCCATGCATGTACATTAGGGATATCTGCGTATTTGTCAACTCTCATCCTCAATATTTTAAAACACGCGGTGAAGCCATTCAAAGGCAAACTAGAGCAAAAATTATGAATCTCTTATACCAACCCCGTTGCCATAAAGTAATTTATAAGAATAACAGCTTCAACATGTGTATAATTATTTACAATAAATTACCAAACGAAATTAAATTGTTACAAGGACATACTTTTAAATTAAAATTGACAAAATGGCTTTTGACACATTGCTTCTATAGTAATAAAGAACACTTAGAATTTACAAATTCATTACATTAATTAGAAACTATAGAGACTAAAGAAACATTGAATCCCATTAACATTTGCACATCTGCTTGCAGGTTGAATACAATGTACCTAATTTTACTTAAGACCTTTGTAATTACTGTATTCTGGCAAATAAACGTATTCTATTCTATTCTATTGGTTGCATTACTTTAAGAATTGGTAAAAACCGGCGTGTATATATGAAATGTGATGTGAAATCAACCTTCAAAGACACGAGTTTGAGAAAATAAGGCAACGATATTACAGAATTGAAGTCTACGTGTTCGATAAAGATGTATGAAAAGACGACATGGGTCTAAATTCCACACAAATTTGATTCAAAGTGTACTCCATAGCGTTTAAATCTATTTGAAAAGGGCAATCCCTAGAGATTCTTACTAGATCTTCTCGGGGGAATCTGCCTTACGTATGAGCGGTAGAGTTTAACCAGTATGACAGTTTCAAGTGTAATTTGCTTACCTATGAAATAAAGATTGTTTGACTTTTACTTTGACGACGTTCGCAGTGAGCAGGCGATAACCAGGTAGTCATTCTAGCGAGTCAAGTCTGTTTCACGCGCACACATTGGAACTTAGTGACTGTAAATGTCATGTTACAGATAAAGCTCGCTAATGCAAAATGCGCTGTGTGCCACTCAGAGCTTTAAATCAGCTCTGAGGGGCACTGTCACTGCGAACGTCACCCTGAGACTAAAAATTGACAAGTCCTTTAGTTTATCTACCACCGTTCAAAACCGTAATTTCACATTATTGCTCGGCGGCAGAAATAGATAAGGTGGCACCTGGACGATTCTTTCACAAGCTCTATTGCAACAAAATACAAAATCTGGTGAGCCAAAAGGTCCCGGGTTCGATTCCCGGGCCGAGAGAAATATATGTATGGCCTACATTTATTTATCTGGTGTGATTTGTGGTTGTCTATGTGTGTGTCCATAACACCCGCGATACAGGCGCGGGATAGTTATTATTATTATTATTTTTACTATCGTCTGTAAGATACGAGGTTGTTGTTAACAGATTAGAAGGACATAGGCTACTATTTGCCACAGAAGTAAATATTAAAGGGGATGAAATAGGGGATTGAAATGTGTATGGAGAACCAATAAAACTATGTAAATGAATACCGCACAGAAGACTACTTGAAATACTTCTTCTACGCAGACTAAGAGTCGTATTCCAGAACTCTACTCAATACTCAAGTCAGGACTTGAGTATTGCAGTGAGCACTGAAAATCATACCCAAGCCCTTGCGATTAGGGTCGTATTTCCAGTGCTTGAAATCATACTCAAGTCTGCTCAAGTCCTGACTTGAGCATTGAGTAGAGTTCTGGAATACGATACAGGCTCGGGGCAATGCGGGGCTATGAATGTGTCCGTTATTATTATTATTTTTACTATCGTCTGTAAGATACGGGGTTGTTGTTAACATGACAAAAGCCGTTGCTTCATAGCCACAGATTTTCATCGTAAGATATTTTTAAATTAGAATTTCTATCCTAGAGTTTTCTAGAATGTTCTACAAATCCCAAAGTCGCCATATGCACACCAGACAGTCTATAAGGTCTGGCGTGACATCGTAAAATCCTTGGCTGTCTAGATTCGATGCGAATGACCTTTGGTGACCCGTAGGTTGGGGTCGGAGGTAGAGGTTAGAATATTGTTCAGAGTGGACAACATGGCGTCAGAAGCGAGAAAATAATTATTACAATAAAATGATTATAATTATTAATACAAGCCTCGAATACAAAAATAATTCTTGCGTCTATTTGCCAATGTACTGCAACCTTACTTATTATGCTGCCAAGCAGTAATGTGAGTTTACTAATAACTAAGGAAAAAGATTCTTTTATGGAAAACTGTATACGTTTTTTACAATATGATTCCGGAGCATATATTAAGATTAACATTTCCTAAGTTTGAAAAGTATTTTAATTTGAAAAGTCATATTACAAAATTGAATACTACGTGTTAGATAAAGATGTATGGAAATACAATGCGAGTCTAGATTCCACACAAATATGATTCAGAATGTATTCCATAGCATTTAAGTTTATTTGAAAAGAGCAATCCCTAGAGTTTCTTGCTCGTTCTTCTCAGGGAGGTCAGCGTAGTGAACGAGCAGTAGCTTAAAAAAGTGACGTTTTCAAGTGTAAACATTTTACCTATGGAATAAATGATTTTGACTTCGACTGCGATTCAGTTTTGGAGGATAAGAGTGTACGCGCACGGCACGAGATAATAGAAAATACGAATGTCGCTTGGTCATCTAGAGGTTACTGCCAAATATTTGTCCTTACAATCTCCGTCAAGACGCGGAAGAAATGAAAAGTTTTACATACACTTTCTCCTGTTGACAGTTCAACAGTTTTCAAAAAAACATTTTAGACTATTTTTTTTGTATGTATGTTACGCGATAACTCCGGTAAACATACAGTATACAAATTTACGTGTTACCGTAATGTATGTATGTTAACTAATTTGTGAACCGATAATGACGATTCTTTTGTTGTTGGAAAGAGGGTCCCATTTAAATTTAAAAGAAAATGTTCCACCTCTAAACGTGGGAAACTAGGGGATGAACCCGGCTTCGCGTACTTTCCGGTAACCAATTTCAATAAAACTTGGCAAATAGATGTAATTACACGAACTTTTGAGGTCGGTTTTTTAAGTACCGACGTTCGTCCCGTAACTTGGTATCGTATAAAGTTGATAAAATTGCGAACAACGTCACAGCATTTAAATAAGTTCATTGAAATAATGTAAAATCATGGCCTGCTTGACTAAATATTGATCTTAATTAAATTTTTGTTTCGAAATTTATATTAATTATTTTGGGGCAAGTTTAAAATTATTTATCAGGCCAGACAAGAACCTTGTTCAGCAGAGGACGTAATGTTTGTATTTAACAATTTAGGTAATTTTCATATAGTTTGTAATCAGGTCGAAAATTGAACTATGATCATTTTGCAAGGTAAACTCTGTCGCCACTGAGCTATTACTTCTATCAATGTGGATTAAAAATAATGCTGTAGACAAAATATAAAACTATGTAAGTAATATTATTTAATAAAAAATTATTTTAATTTATTTCGTAATTTCATTGAATTTTTTTGACAATGCCAATTGAAAAACAATGTCAATTTTACTATGATAAAATCTGGCTCGAGTATATTTTGAAAATTAGCTTTCCCTAATATTGTAAAGATAAAATTCAAATTAAAAATTATTTTCGCTCAGGAAAATTGCTAAAAAAATTATAATTAAGAAACCATTGTACTTACTCTTTCTGTACGGAAACCTCGGGCCTCGAATAAAAGGTGTAACCAATGGGATCGTATGCACCGACATAATATTATATAAACAATTATTTATTTATATTTTGCAAATACAGCAAATATTTCGTCACGTAGTTTTAGCGATTTTTTTTCTCTTCTATCAAAACGCGCGAGCTTTCTTGTACACGACAGACCCGGCGAATGAAAACAACGGACGATCGCGTTCCAATTTTGAAATGCTTATTTTTTTTACAAATTTTTTTTGGCGCTAAGAGTTTTATTGCTTCGTTCAAAAAGATTACATTTGTTTTTGAACAAACAAAATTTGCCTAAAACTGTTTCTTTAAAAAGACTCATCTTTCATTTTTGCGTCTCAAACAGAAACTACGTAAATATTTACCTAACTGCGCCTCCTTTATATAACTATGTACCTATAAGTACATTATTTGCTTCTATATTGCTTTGTTCCACTACTGGGCATGTAATAAACAATAATTGAGTGGTTCACATTTTTAATGATTTTGGCTAATGGCGTGAAATGGATCAGTATTTTAATTTCAAATACTTCAACAATACAGTGCCAAAACTTGATATATTCTGAAGAAATCAGTGTCAAATGTTGATTACTTTTGCAATCTTTTTTAGTTTTACACTTTCAAAAGTTGCCATTTTGTCGTCAAGCTGCTAACGCTGTTCTATTGAATATAAACTCGTGCAAAATCCGTTATTTTGTTTGGTATTTATTATTTCAACATTCGAGAGGACCCTCGTGTTAATTTATTAAAACTTGATTGTTAAACATTTCGGAGAAGATTGGTTTACATATGAAATTATAGAATTGTATACTTATATTACCGGGCAAGTACAATCAAATATAACCGAAGAAGAAATGACAGATAACGAAGATACATTGATGGTTGACGACGTGGCTATAAGAGTATAAAGGAAAATTAAAATTAGATTCAAGTTGTATTTTTTATTATTATAATAACAAAACTAGGCATGTTATCATAGTGTTGTTGTAAATATAGCTACGTTAATTCAGTTACAAAACTTGTTCAATTTTTAAATGGGAATAAAGTAAAAAGTTTAATACTGTGATTTTGTTTCTTCATATTGTTAATCTCTTAATTTTATCCCACTTTTCAGATAATTAAAAAAGTACCACTTAAAAATCAGTTTTCGGAAAAAATAATTCATTGCATTCTGTTATAACGCACATAACGCAGCTTGCTAGTGGATTAATCAATTAGTCTAACACACAGACACACTAAGGGTGTCCATATACCCGACTGAAAGCTAAAATATTAACTACGGCTTAATATAAACGCGTCGACCTGTACAAAGTTGCAGGCTTACAATGCGGGCCGCCATTTGTAGGTCATCGGCGGAGGAAAATCAATACTGTGTCATTGAAGTTACGAAGTAGGCCGTTTGTAGACGCAGTGTCCTTGTGGTGAGGTACAATCTTAGAAGATGGAAAACATTAAACGAAGGCTTCCAGTATAATGTCCTACGGGATTCTCATGTGGGGTAAAACGGCAAATATTCAAACCATATTTGTGTTGCAAAAACGAGCGATTCGTTCTGTGTACCGCTTAGGTTCTCGGGTTTCTCTCAGAGAAAATTTAAAGAGAATGGTATCATGACTGTGGCATCACAGTACATTTGCTCAAATATTTTGTATGCCCGTAAAAATATACATAATTTCATTTAGACAGAAGAATCCATAATATTAACCTTAGAACTAAGTCCAAACTCATGGTACTATGATTTCGTTTAACTAAGGTAAAAGGAGAATATTTATAAGAGAGAATATTAAAAGTATTTTAATTGAAAAGTCATATTACAAAATTGAAGAGTATGTTTTAGATAAAGAAGTATGGAAAGACAACAAGAGTCTAGATTCCACACAATTATGATTCAAAGTGTATTCCATAGCATTTAAGTTTATTTGAAAAGAGCAATCCCTAGAGTTTCTTGCTCGTTCTTCTTAGTAAAAATTTGCTCTTGGTACCTTAGAAGATGAAAAAAATAATACGCTCTATTTATTATCTATGCTGAAGTGGTTCTTTAAAAAATTTTGGCTCTGGCGGATAATTTTAAGTTCTTTTTAACCTCTGACACAAAAAGAGGGGAGTTAAAGTTTGACAGTATTTTTTGTGCGTGTCTATGTTACGAGATTACTTTGACAGATTCGCTCTGGACTTTTTGGAGGGAAAAGTGTCGTTTTTATTTTGACTTTCAATTATTTTGTGAAATCTAGTTTAAAGTGGAATAGGATAGTGCTATTGTGCCTTAATCGAAGATTAAAACGCGAAATTATACGAATCTCGAACTAAAATACCCGTATCGGCCCGTTTTAAGGAATCCCGAGTCAATCCAAGCACGCCGCCTCAAATTGCCTATCCTCTTTGTGGCGGCCATATTTACAGAGACATAATTAAACTTCATGTTTAGGCTGATGGCTTTGCCAAAGCCTTAATAAATAAAAAAAAAATTACTTTGACATTTCTGAATCGATTTCGATGATATTTTTTTGTTGTAATATAGTATATAGTAACAGGTAAGATGGCAGTACTTTCATGGATGAACTCTTTCTTATAGGGCTCTACTGCTGCTTAGCATAAATTTGAATGTGACGAAAAAAGTAATTAAAAAGTTTGAATTCAGATTTCGTGTTTTAACGTAAATATATTCATTTTAATCACGATTGTGAGGCAACACTAATGGACGTACCAGGTTACCAGGGTACCAGGGTACCAGGTGTTACCAGGGGTGAAGTTACCAGTGCTACACAAAATTAAAAGTCGTCATAAATATGTTATTTACGACGTACAGCGAACTCAAATAAGACTCTTCTATAAGCGCTACAGTGGCGAGGCAGTCGCACGTCTATAGTGCTTCACTTAAGGCATCGAGCTTAGAATAATAACGCATAGAAACCTAGTCCGCACACGCTAAGTGAGGCAAATTGAAGCGCGCCAAAAGGGCCTACACGAGCGGGCGGGCCTTCAGTGCTCAAGGTCAACTTGCACAGCGAACAGATCAAGAATTTTAGCTAAAAATGACAAAATGTGCGGTAAACGAGTGTAAAAATACGTCAGACAAACATAAAATAGATACTAACATCACATTCCACAAGGAAGTAACGCGTTTCAACTTGTATTTTTATATAAATATTCGCTAAAACCGAAAATTAACCTACTACTAAAACTAGCCTACATGAATTTGATTTTTGCCTCACTTGTGACAGTTCGTTTGATATGAAACTATCATTCATATGCGTTATTATTCTAAAGCATCGAGTATATAACCAGAAATAGAGACGAAATGTCATTTAATTATATCATTCCGGTGACAACTGCGCTCCGATTGGCCAGCCCGAATTCGAAACAATTGACGAGTGTCGTCGATTGTTTCACTTCAAATCGACCAGTTAACTTGAGCTTTGCTATAATGGACGAAAATTGCAAAATTACATATTTAATATTTAATTACCGATGAAATTTGATTCCGTTTGTTTTGTAATTAGATGTTTTGTTGTTTTACACACAGGTCAGTTGTTGGCGCTGTCTATATGTCAGTGCAATCGAGAGTTGATATTTATAAGTGACGTATCACTGATGGGTTACCAGGAATATATGGCCCTTATTTCGTCTCTCTTTCAGGTTATATATTCGATGACTACTTATTTAACATTGACTTTGAATAACCTTTTTATGTCAGTCATCAGATTAAAACAGTAAACGAATGACACAGAGCACACAAAATGGCGGACAATCACCGAAAGGAAGGCCATAGATAATGAAACACTTCCTCTCAACGCATGCCATAGAGCAGCTAGCTGTGTATTCACTATGTACTTACAATAACCATTATTTACAAGTGCAAACCTACCGACCAATACGCTGCTCTGTCGTACACTAACTAAAATGCATCTAAGTGACAAATGGTCAAATATCCGTTATAAACAGCATAAGATAGAGCACAAAATTCTCTTTTACAATTAGTTAACGTGATTCCAGTTATCAGAACTTACCCTAATGATGAATAGCTGAAATATCATTCAACAATTTCAACATCCTAAAATTGGGATCAAATCAATCAAATCAAATCATTTATTGCTGTAAATGTGGTAAGTACAATATGATGGTAGTGTTACAGAACGTTGTTTCACACATTTAGCCATTTATGACATGCAATATTTAATTATAAACAATTCGTTAAATTATAAAAATGGCGACTTCTTCCAAGCATGCGAAAATATGTCAAAATTATGAAATTAATACAATGTCCCTAATTTAAATCATTCTTACAGATAAATAACTCAATTCATAATTATTATGTCCTTAATTTAACATACTCCAATAGATAATCACTCATATATGTTACATAATTCATTGTCGTAGTCAATACCATAAATTCAATATATGTCAACGTTCCTCAAAAAAATCAGTCAATTTGTAATAAATTCTGTCTTTAAGCCATGCAATAAGTCTCTTTTTGAAGGTTTGGTTTGGTAGCATTTTTATATCCTTTGGTAGAGCATTATATATTTGGACACACATACCATTACATTGGTTTTTGTAACTAGATAGTCTAGGTTTACTGTTATAGACCAGTCTATTAGGGTCTCTTACATTTATACTATGGACATCGCTAATTTTTTTAAAGAGGTGAAAGTTTTGTTTAACAAACCATGCCACTTCAAAGATATACATGCACGGTAACGGCAAAATTCCCAAATCCTTGAACAAAGGTGCGCAGGATTCACGTGGCGGGACTCCAGTCATTGCCCGAATACACTTTTTCTGAGCTATGAACAATTTTTTACAGTCAGTTGAGTTTATTATGACATGTCAAAAAATTATTATATCACTTAGCAAAGCTTTAGTTAGCGGGCGGCATTACTATCAAACGCGATATTCTTACAAAAAAAACGGGGAAAACAATGGCTATTGTTTTTTCTGCATTTCTCCCTTGGTTGTTTTCTTTACAATAAACTCCATCGAGAGCTCCACATTTTTTGTTCGAATGTAAGAAGAGGTTAGCAAAATGATTACGAAATTTAAATTATGAGGATATGGAAGAGTTGGTTCATCCAGCAGTCTGACACAAACATAATGTTTCGTTGTACTCGTACACACAATCACACACACACGCACTCGCACTTTTTAAGCAGTCAACATTAC